TTCAGCCATAACAGCAGTGTGGGCTGATACCTGTGCCAGGAGACAAGCTAAAGGGGACCAGAGGGCTCAACACAAGTAATGCATTCTCACTTAGTACAGGCTCAAACTAAAGCCCATTGAGCTGGAGGAATCGTCTTCTGATTTCAAAGAGGTTTGGAACAACCCCTTTGGAAGCTGTGCTGGGACACATGACGCTATTTCAGAGTTGGGTTTATCAGCAACGGTTGTCTTAAAACAGCATCCTGAGCCTGAGCCTGCTGTAGCAGATGTACTCATTCCTCTGACTACTTTTTGCATCAACCCAGGCTCTCAGTGGTCATAATCCATTTGAAACCCATTCTGGGGGACTATAACTGAGTGACCAGGCTGGAATTTTAGGAAGGAACGTACTTTCGAGCTTGCTGCAACAAGTCCTCCTTCCGCTGAACCAACATACGCTGCCTTTCATCAGCTGACTTGGAAAAGCGACTTCCCCTGGCCTCAAAATCTTCTGCTTCACTGGGCTCTGCTTCCATTTCGCTGAATTCCACCATTTCTTCCAGTCTTGAGTTGAGTTCAAGTGGCACTCTCTCAGTCTAAGAGAAAAGGATAAAAAAAGCCGTAAAGTCTTTGCAAAATTTGCTAACAGGGCTTCTCTGTATCACATTGATAAGCTACAAAGAACTGTCATTTTCTGAGGCATTGGAAGAAATCAGACTCTCACCTGCTGCACCCAGTTCCCTTGGGTGCCTTTGAAAACCCCAGCCAAATACAGAACAAAGCTATTTCAAAACACGTTCAAAGAGCCTGTATTCTATAATGCTGTATCTTTCATGCCATCTTTGAAAGTAATCTCAAACATTAATTACTCATAATTAATGCTCTATGAAAATGGGGCATTTGAAACAGATTTTGCAGCTGACTTGACAAGCAACACAACAGTAAAGAATTTCAAAACCTGAAATCCATATCCCGAGGGAAGAATAGCAAATGTATTTGCAAAAAGGATGCGTGCTTGAGAAGGGACTTCATGAAGCTTCGGTTCACCACGTTCCGCAGCACCCGAATTATCGTGTTTTCAGGCTGCTGGAACAAGGCTGGCAACTGTCCCGAGCACAGCGTGTCAATAACAGGAGCTGGCAGCCCCGCACACAGCACCTCTTCACCCTTGACAGCTGGCCAACAACGCTAACGTGAAAATTGAGCTGATGAACGATGACGCTGGTGAGCTAGCGTAGGTGAAACAGCATATCCCGATTGCATCCTGTCATATACGATCGGATCAGCTCGGTGATGGAAAAGCAAGACGTTACTAAGCGTGGTAGCATCAAGAAACAAATCACCTCAACGAAAAGGCTTAAGGGTTTACCCATCATTTGGTATCCCAGAGGATTATTCGAACAAGTAGGATGCATCAGAGAGGTATTAGCCAAGTCAGCTCCTACTGCCTAGTTTTGGGCCTTTGGCATAGCCACCGCAGGAGCCTCGGCAGCTGGTGGCGTGGGCACTACAGGGCGACTGCTGCCCAGGCTCCAGCAGCATTACAGCCTGCAACGCGCACGCGTTTCGGCAGCTGATGTGCAAAACAAGCGGAGTCATGCCAAAGCCCTAGAGACGTACCGGCAACATCTTCAGAGAGGGAAAACAAAGACAAATGCCGCTAAAAGGGGGCCAAGCAGGAAGGCCAGGGCCCAAGCCGGGGCAGTAGGAACGCTGCAACCTCAAACAGAAGTACATCTTCAGCCTATTTCAGCACATTCCAGCATGCTGGGGAAGGGTTCCCTGTACGGCACGCACAAATGCATTGGGATAATGCAACGAGGTACTGTGGGACCGCAATGCCACATCCCAGGGGAGGAAGCAAGAGCTCCACAGGGTGATGTTGTGGATTTTACCCAGGGCCAAGATGACCTCAGCAGGCCCAGAAGAACAGGTATGGAGCAACCCGAGTGCCGCTTTCCATTACCACACAGGCAGACACAGGAAAGGGACGCTCTGCTGGGCAAAGCAGCGAGGAGGGCACTCGTTATGGCTGACATTCAGAGAAAATCCCTTTTTTTTTTTTTTATCCTGGGCCATTTGTAGCAGAAGATGCAAGCAAGCTCACCTCAGCTTTTTCTTTTTGGTAACATTACAAAGATGAAAAATCAATACCCATGAGCCTGTTCTTCTATCTGAACATAAAAGCGGTTACTGAGGAGGTTTTGCAGACAAAAATATCAAAACTAATTGCAGTAAAGTTTATGACAAGCCTAAGTATGACAGCAGCTCTCAGATGGAGAAACCTGTACAGTACAGAAACCACTCCTCCTTCAGGCTCCGAGAGAAAAAGAGGTAGGTTCATGAAAGCCATGGGATGCCTCAGAAGTGGCTCCAACAACAGCTTAGTTAGATCTGAGCAGTCCTACCCAATCTGCTCCCAGGATTACAGAAACAGATAAACACACACACGAAAATGTAAAGGATAATCTTTAAATACATTTTAGCACATGAAAAGACAAGCTTGCAGAAAATAGCTATAGCTGCTCTGGGATCTCCTCATATAGGAAGCAACAGCAGAGTCGGAAAAGAGGGGAGGGAGGGTAAATGTGATGGGGTGGAGCACGAGCAGGCAGAGCATGGGGCACAGTGCTGGAAGCATTAGCATCGCCATGCATTTTCACAGCATCTTGCTAAGTGTCCCGGCCAGGACTGTCAGAAGTAGCCAATGTTTAGAGCAGTATATCACAAACCTTTAACATGATCTATACCATGATGGTGCTCAGAGATGTCTCTAAACTACCCTTACCTTATGTCAGCACTGACACCCCAAAACCATAAGCTACATTTGGGAGGTGGAGGGATATCAGTCATTATCTTAATTCTATCTAGAATTCAAACATCTTAAGTCACAATATGACCTATGGCACAGAGGAAAACCTATGCTTCTCATGAAGGGTGCTTTTATTTGAGCAGGTTAGCTGCCCCAAGAAATGTTCTTTCCAACAAGCAGAACTCCAGCGGGTCTGCCACTCGCTGTTGGAGATCTAGAAAAATCCTCAGTGGGTATGTTGATTTAAAAAAAAAAATAAAGAAGAAAAGAGATGGAAAGCTTGTAAGACTGACTCTAAGGCTGCAGCACAAAGCAACCAGAGCTGCCACAGCCTCTCTCAGGGACTGTGTCATAAGGTGTGAAGTTACGTCTATCCACGATTTGGAAATTCAAGTCTCACCCAGAGATGATGATGATGGCTTCTTATGTCCCTTCACACTTGCTTTTAAAAACCTTAAAAATCAAGCGCAGCCTGCTGACGTAGCTCATTTGCTGCTAGACTGTTCCACACAGACAAGAGCTTGACTGCCTACTGCAACATATTCTTCTGGCAAGAAGAAAGAGAACATCTGCAATACACCAGGTACGCAGTTAAAAACTGAAATAAAAATCGGAAAGACACAGTAGTGATGGGATTTTCCTAGAGGACGGACACCCCTAGGCTCCCAAGTCTCCTCTCCACAACAGAAATACTATCCATAGCAAGGAGGTGAGCAAGCCTGACTCCTAGGTGGATCTCTGCGGCTGCATAACAAGAGTGATCAGCTCATCTGACACCAGCCTAAGTTAACACTAAATGGACAGAGCATTTATGAGGCAGGGGGAGGGCAGCAGCACCTGGAGCTTCCATGACACTACCCAGCACCAAGTTTCTCTCAGTGCATGGCAGCCTCCATCTCCCACTTCAGCCTTTGCCTATGAATCCCATCTAGCACAGTAAATATCCATCCAGAAAAACCTGCGCAGAGGACACAGAGTTCATCCCCCCACCACGCAGCCACCAGCAGCCCCACTCAGCTGCAGGAAATTCACAACAGTTCACATATCTCCAGGCTATCACTGTCCTATTCTACAAACCAAAAATACATTCTCCATCCAAACCCCCATTCACTCCATCTAAAAGACATCAGTCAAGCAAAGTGCTTAGGTGCAATTCAAAGCAAGAAGATGTCACTATTGGAGAGCACATGCTCGATGACATAAGTATGACATGGTATGAACACCACTCGCAGGTTTTCAAGTTGAAACAACTTGAAAATAGCTCTACAACTACCTGACAGGAGGTTGTAGCGAGGTGGGTGTTGGTCTCTTCTCCCAAGTAACAAGCAATAGGATGAGAGGAAATGGCCTCAGGTTGTGCCAGGGTAGGTTTAGGTTGGACATTAGGAAAAATTCCTTCACCAAAAGGTTTTGTCAAGCACTGGAAGGGGCTGCCCAGTTAAGGGGTCGAGTCACCATCCTGGACATATTTAAAAGACAGGTGCTTAGAGACATGGTTTAGTAGTGGACAGGTACGGTTGGGCTTGATGATCTTAAAGGTCTTTTCCAACCAAATGATTCTAAGTTCTGTAGAAGGAAGGGCAGACGCATGTAGCACCAGGCAGGAAGGAAGGTGAACAGCAACACAATCATTCAAAGTGGCATTTGAAGCCCAGTAGCAAGCTCAGGAAAATTAGTTAGATACCATTTGTAGAAAGGGAGGTGTTACTCATAAAGAACAGGGAAAACGCCACCAAAACCTTCAAGTTAACCCACAAAGTTACTGAAGAGTTGCTAGACCCAGACCAAGATCTTCATTCCTGCAGTTCTGCATCTCCTACCCCAGGCTCTTATCAAGTGCCTGAACCAATCCCCACCACTTCTTCAGCCCCAACTGCAGTATGAAACCAAACCAAAGTTTCTTCTGTCTTGCAACCTGCTAACGAGGGAGCTACCACAGTTCAGTTTCAGGTGAGTAACAGGGTGGCTGTTTAGGTTATTAAAGGCTGCAGAAGCAGAAAGTCACACACCTCAAGTTCACTCTCTTTCTAAGCCAATTTCCACTGGAAAGGAGGAGGAGGTTTATAAAGAAAGGGAGGTTTATAAAACAGAAACCCTCACAATTTTGCTTCTACAGTCAGGGAAAACAGAAGTGGAATGAGACCCCATTCTACTTGCAGGCTAATTTTTTTTCTTCCTGCCACATTCTAGCTAGCACACGCTGCTTAATAAAGCCCTTAGTGAAGAACAGCAAAAACCATTATCATGCTTTGTATGTAAAAGGACTGTTATCTCCTGGTCCCATTTGTATCCCACTCCATTGGCACCGAAGCTCCCCATGGCTCCATGTGCTTCCTCCAGAACACAAAAGAATTCTTATACCCAGAAGAAAAATACTACTTTAAAGGGAAGTGTCTGGAGACATACAGAATGGGAATGGGAAGACGAAGGGGAAGAGCAAAGCGTCCTGCTCTTCCTATTCCACAGATGGGCATGGGCCTGACCAGACGTGAACAGAGCTTATTTTCCTGTTTTGTATCACTTGGGAGCACTTTTCTTCAGGGAGGAAAAAGAAAAGCACACAGATAATTCTTTACAGGAGCACCATGCTGGTGGCTTACGTGAGTTGCCTGACAGCATTAGTTCTGGTGTGAAATGCAAAGAAGGGCTGCCATCAACCTGACCTTGTACGGAACAAAATGCACTTAGCTGTCCATGCAGCTTCTAATTGTGCTTTTTGCCCACTTTTCTGCCAAATTACCTGGGTGGCAGTTTCAGTATCCTCCTGATCAGTACCGTGCCGCTCCACAGAACTGTTCAATGCAGGTCTAATGCTATCTGCACGCTGAAATGCAAACATCATGGGTTTAATACAGTGTGTGAAATGGCAAACCAAAACCGAGTTCTTTGAACGCATTCAGACTCTGCCCTCTGCAACGTCATGTGTTATGTTCAATTTAGAAACACATAAGTTAGCAATAAACAGAATGCACTGTGTTGAAAGAGAATTCTCTCTGCTTCCCCACACACAGACTCCAGATAATAGAACTATCTGATGTGCACAGAACCAGAATTCAATATTCTTATTAACAGACTGCTTTACTGAAACCTGCTATCGCTAATTAAGAACAAAGCATCATTTTGCCGACTACTTTCTTTGCAGAAAACCCTCCTAAGTGGTACAATTCAATTATCTGTCAGCAGAGAAATCAACTGGAAATGTTCTAAAGGCTCTGCACAAGAGCAACTGAGAAGAGCTGCTTTAACTGAGCAAATATTTGTCTCCAGTCTAGCTAGGACATTTTCAGTATATTTTTGGTACATGACTGAATATACTGCATTTACAGAGATTTTAACAGAGAAAAAACAAATCTGGAGGGTTTCTTTACTAGAATTTGGCACTATATAACATGTTTGAGACTGTATAGGCAAGCACTTCACGCATCCTGCAGTCCAATCACAGCAACAAGGGGCAAGCTATAGGGCATGGGTGATAGACTCCGACTCTCCTTCATAAAGAAAATACCCTGTATTACAAATGGATAATGCTAGAGCATACCTGAGACCCACCCCAATATATTAGAAGGCCTTCTTCTAAGGGCTGCAGCAAGGAACAGATGCGTGCACCTCAATCACACACCACTGGGAGACATTCCAATTGAGTCAGACCTTGCAACACGGAGATACAACATACACTAGAGTACCAAAACTGGTTTGGCGCTTCCAACTGCAACATCTTCATATAGGTAAATTTTGAAGAGTAATATTGCATTAACCTAAGCTGGATTCACCAGTGCTTCAACTTGCCTCATTCCCCTCACTCAGTTCTGGGATAAGAAAATAAGTCAGGCATTTTAGGTGCATGGTGTTATGACTTACCTGTGTGGGGAAAGGTACCTGGATGCGCCCTTCTAAGATGTTGTCGGTGGTGATCTCTACGGAACGGGTTAACTGCAGATCCTGTAGGACTAAATGATAAGGAACCTGAGGGAACATCTCCTGAATCTGATGGGCCTGGAGAAAACAAGGTTTATACAGTCAGTATCGGCAGCACATCAAAGTTAGCTGGTAAGTACACCTCAGCAGAAAGAGATAGAAAAATGAACAGCTCAAAGATGCTGTTTATGATAGGATAACCCACACACAGAAAGAAAAACAAGAGAAAGAAAACCCATGCTGGCACTGATTTACAGGGCAATATTTTGAATCCATTGAAGCCAACAGCAAAACTGGAACTCCTATGGAGACACCACATGGTCCTGAAAATTTAGGTTCCTGAACAGTGCTTGTAGATGCACAAAGGCTTCAAAAGCTTCCCAACCTTCTTTTTATGACAGCTTTTTTAAACAAAGATCTATACAAAATTCATGAGTGACTGGAAGTTAGATCAACACTGAAAAAAAAAAATCATTTCTCCTTGTCCCAGATGGGTTCCAAAATGGTACTGGTAAGGACAAGTAGAATAAATGTTACTAACCCACTCTCTCCAGCCACCTGTCTACAAACCAGTTTAATAGAGTCTGAAAGTTCAAGTAAATTAAACCAAATTGTCAGGGAACTGTTATTACTGAATTTCAAGTTACTTAAGTAATATCCAAATTAAATAGATAAGAGGGCAGACAAATAATACGCTTTTAGAGTCCAACAGCTAGACTTCATTAAATATTAAAATCTGTATTTTAACTAATGCTGAAAGTTACAGGGGCAGGGGGGAGGAATGAGAACAACCAGAAGAAGAAAAGAAGGGTGGAAGGAGTTTTGAGAGCAAATCAAAAAGTATGCACCAGCTAACAGTGAGTTCAAACAAACAACTTGGACTTGATGATCTTAAACGTCTTTTCCAACCTAAACGATTCTAACTACAGCATACCTAACTCTCCATTCTACTAACTTGTGATCAAACCCTCTGATTTAGCATTTCAGCCTCTGGCCTTTCCCTCCAAATACTTCCCTAGGTTTTTATTCAGTAACACAAAGGAGAATTTCATTTATTTTCTATTAAAAATGTGTAACACTTCAATAGTTTGCTAACCTGGGCCTTCCCATTAAAGTAGGCATCTTAATAGAAGTTGCTACTGTACTTTTAATAGTACACAATGTTAAGAAATCATTACTCATCCTTAACAAAAGCCCATTTGTGTCACTGCATCCAGTAAAAGAAAAACTAAATTGACCTCAGATGGAGCGTTCCTGAATATTTAACTAGTAAATCATGTGCCAACACCTTACCGCTCCCTGCCTGCCCTGCCTCAACCCCCCTAAAGATTGTGCCCTTATCCTGTGGGGGCTTTAAGAGTAGTGAAGGCTGCAGGAGAGATCTCACATTCAGAAAATGTCATCCCTTTCATGAGATCCCTCACTGAATATTTATTAACATGCTACAGCATGCAGTAGCTTTAAGAACTGAAAGGAAACAGCACTTCTCAAACCGAAGGAAGCAAGTGTCTCATGAGGCCATATCCTTCTCTTTTTGAACTACATTGGCGTATTTATGTATGAAGTCAACAAACGTGGGATTTCATCCTCAACACTCCTATCGTCATCATGAATCAGTCAGGGGTGACTGCGCCACAGAGAGCCCCATCTCACACTGACAAGACACTCAAACAGAAACAGCTATCTTGGAGCTCGGTGCTCTTAAAAATAAATACTAAAAAAATCAAAAGCTATAGAATGGGTTTGATCAGCTACCACTTGCCCAACAGCTACATTCTCTGGTTGCAGATTCACACCTTTTGCTACTGCAAGTTGTGAGTGAAGGTAAGTACTGAAAAAAAGCTAAGGAAGTTGCACTAAACAAGCTGAGAAAAAGCCTGCCTATCTACACAGAAAGTACATGTAATTTTTCTCCCTCATTTACCTGCTTCCAGACCTGTTCTTTTACGTTTGCACATTTGAACCACCACATAGTCCTAACTTCACTAAAATAAAGCTTCTCTCACTCAAAAAACCCAGCTTTCACGTAGCATTTAAACACTGTTTTGGACTTCCTTCCCCCTTTATGTTCTCCATCTACACGTATCTCTTTCCCCCCACAACACAAATAGGAAGGCTGAGGTGCAAACGATTAAAGCAGTCTTACCATAGCATTAAGCTGGGAGTTGCTGGCTTGCGTAATACCGAGGATGTTTGTAGTATGCATCACTTCTACTGAAAAACTGGGCAGCCAGCTGGCAATTCGAGAGCCTAAGAATAAGAAAGCACCAAAAAAGTCAAGCAAGAATATGAGGTTCTCAGCAGGTGAAGTACTTCTGCATATATCTAACATAAATCTTCGTATTTCTCCAAGGTACATATGGGGAGTTCTGCAGTGCAATCCATCCCTACGGTCTCCCAAACATGGAGATGGCTGGAGTAAATCCGTAACTGCTGATACTCTCTTCAAACACACTGTCATAGTGGCTTAACAACCCGAGGGCCAGAAGGGGATCAAGAAAACATCCTCATTTTCTTGTTTTAATGTTCCCATTAAAGGGAAAATTAAAATAATCCAGAGCCAAATTCAGTTCTGGAATACGCGAATAACTCCAGCAATTTCACTGAAAACAGGCCAGCTTCTAAACAGGCTGAATCTGGTCCCAAAATGGATCAGCATCACTGAGAAAATACTACTACAAAGGGACACAGAGCAACCAAACAAAGTGAATGCTGCAATTGTGTGCTTAGGCTCAACAGAGTAGGGCATGTGGCTGGCTCCCTCCTCCTCCTGCATTTCCATTTAAATAAGCACAGGGTTTGCTCTGTGCCACTTCTCCTCCTGTCTCCATGGTAATTTTGTGGGTCTCCAAGCCACAGGAGTGCACTGGGGAGGACAGCTATCAAAAACCAGAGTGGTATTCTAAATATAAATATCCTTTGGAGACCTAAAGCACCCCAAAACTGGGAGCTGTGCAAGAAGCCATCAGCCACTCTCAGTGTACCTAGAAAGATCTGACACTTCTCTGCCCATTATTCTTCTCCCACAATCTCCAAAGATTGCAAAGCCAGCACAGATGAAGAACGGGGCACTCTGTAAGTTTGCAGCATCTCAACTACATCATGGGAGCTCCACAAGGACAGAGCCCAAAGCTAAGTATTTGCACTGGTAAAATCTACTGAGAAGCAACAAGACTGCCATCAAAAACGTGGGAGACTGTGGAAGACAAGTACACACCAACACCAAAGCTATAAAAAAAAATATCTGGGAGATGAGCAACAGAAATTGTCTCTTTCAGAACAAGTGTGTCTGCACACACAGAACTCAGTACGGTCTGAAATCACATCTGCTTTGTGAGTACTTGTAACACACCACTGAAAAAACAACATGCAAAACTGATCCGGTTACACGATTCCTCCAAAGAACAAGCTTCTGCAGACTTCTGCCCCTAACCAGGCACTGCAAGCTTCTTGCAACTTGAGGGGCAAATGGACTTTCAACAACCTCACATTAGCTAGGGATAGGGGAAAGATCAACTTTTAGACTGCACCACGTAGGGTTTTTTCCCCTCTTTGACTGTCACTGATTAACCAGCCACCTAGAAACAAAATAAGACACATGACTTTCCTGTTCTGTTGGTCGTCATGGCATGCAATGAACAAATGCAAGCATTAAAGCTGCTAACCACAACAAACCAAGGAAAAGGCAGCACATGTACAAAATCTTTCAAGAAATCTCTGTAGCTGTGGACAACCTCAGAGGCGTGTATCTGAGCTCCCACAGAAGAACCGTAAGAAATGTTTATGTGTTTGACAAACACAAGTGGAGGTACAGTTTAAATTTCAGTTGAAACATGGACAGAATTCCCGTCTACAGAAGGCCATTCCCTTCGTTTATTCGGGCAACAGCATCGGATGTCAAATCTGCTTAGCTCACCGTCAAAGTGGAAGAAGTGATTGTGCTGGTTCAAGCGTGGTCTGCCTTCTGCTACAGCCACAGGGACCAGGTTCTCATCCAGATTTTCCCTTTGGTGATCCTCCCTCACGTGATGGCTGTCAGTGATATTAAGAGACATTCTGCAGGTGGGGCAAGATGTATCTTGTTCCAGCCAGGATCGCAGGCACGAGCTGACAGGAAAACAGTAATATTGTGGTGAGCTCGCAGCATTTTTCCAAGACATCAGTATCACGAGTACATCAAGCAGCTGTAGCATATTCTGTACAGAACATCAGCAAATGCACAGGGACTGCTCAGAGATAATTTGCAAGGTATGCCTGGTAAGCTCCTGATGACTCTGGCTTAGGGTTCTTTCAGCTGAAAATACTCCAGTGTTCACTTTTTACCAAGAAGCATGCAGATTTATCACAGGCTTAAAACACTCTCCAAGTTTGTTGTCCCTCTAGCTCAGAACAAGCAAGTTTTGCTTGGAAGGAGAAACAAAGCATTTCTCGTCTCTCACCATCCCCAACTGAAAAAGGAGAAAAAAACAACTGGACAAATACTTAAAATATCCTGACACATTTTCATAGCAGTTCTGCCAGCGTGATGAGGCAAAGGCACCTCCAAAGTTTTTCAAATATCTTTTCAAAACCATCAGTACCCAAATCACCACCAAAGTGAGCACCGCTCTGGGAACTCTCTAAACAGATGTATGAATACTAACCAGTGCTGTGCCATTACAAGGTTCCCTTAATTCTGAACACTTGCTGTCTTGCAGAAAGTGAAAAGAGTTTGAAATTCAGGTTTAAACACTCAGAGCTGTGCCCGCGTTTTGATTCAACTGATATGACCCAGTTGCAGTGTTAACTAGCATGTTAAACCTAATTTTCAGTACGGAAGAACTGAATTTCACAGAACTGAACACATCTCAACACTACAAAATGTACTTTATGCTTGCAGGATGGGGTTTTTTTCCCAGGAGATGCTCTCAAAACTCTTTAGAAAGGTAGAGACATACAAAAAAGCCAAATCAACCTGTTTTCCCAGACTGTGTATTTGCAAATGGAGTAAAGGCACAAATCACAGGTTTGGGCTGACAAGAGCAAAGAAAGTCCTAATTGCAGAACTACAGCAAAGTCAAGGATATGAGCACGCTGCACAATTCCTGGAGCTGTAGCATATAGACATATTGCTAAAGTATTTTCCATTGTATTTAAATGGAGGGATATGCAGTGTTCAGAAGTTACAGTGATGGGTTTCCTAGAAACAACCAAAGCACTACAATAAAAATCTACCATCTTCCACCACCTTGGTCATCAGCAGACCCCCAGCATGTTAGCACTGCTGCTGCTGTCCAACTTCAACACTACAGCAAAACCAACCTGCAGACAGCAAGCTCAAGTCTCTGCTACAATTATACTCAGGAAGGTGACTTGTGAAACACCCAGAGTGACACAAGCTACCACCACACTGCTGCTTCTCAATGGCTCAACCACTGAGACGCTACAATGGACACAAACCCCTTGCAGCCTGCACAGGGTTGACCTCAGCAATGTGAATCTTCCCTGCCATCTTACTCTTCTACTCCAAATAAACAGCTATGAAAAAAAATCCCAGGTAATTGAGAATGGACACAATGTTTAGCCTGTTGGCAAAATCACTGGGCTTTTATGAGGAGAGAAACCACTCTTAGGTTCTAAATGGGATCATTAATTACATCTGGTTTTATATGCAAGCTTAAGTCATCCACTGTAACATGCTCCCACCCTAAATGCACCAAGGAGGTAAGTGTAACAGCTTCAGAAAAAATAGAAGAGGATCCTTTTAGATACAGAGAAAACAACTTTCTAAAGAGAAGACCCTGGGCTTCTCAAGTGCTCAGCAGGTGATTAAATATTCATACGATTCAGTAGCATTGGAAGAGGAGTTGCTGCTACGGAGGCACATTATCTCATTAGAGACTTCTTGGAACACAGATAAATATTTATGGCAAGGTTTGTCATAAATGACAACAAATTAGCACACAGATTATAACCTCTGGTTTGACAGTTACCAGAAAAGTAAAAAGCTATTTGCAGAAAGTAACTTGTTCACACAACATCATGGGGACAATTTAACTGACCACGCACATGAATCACGTTGCGCTTCAGAAACTCCTGATTCAATCCCCGTATCTCCTTTCATTTTTAAGCACAAGCATGAAAGTGTAAGCACTGCTACAAAAGATCTAAGAAAAGGCCCACCTAGCTCAGCACCCTATCTCCACAAGCATCTGCTACTGTTCACTGCTGAGTGAGTGTAAGGAACAGTACAGAGAGAGATCCTTTGGCCAAAAGCCTCCCAGTTCCAACTACCAGGTGTTTAGGGACCTCTCCAGCTAATTTGGTTAACCTCTTTCACAGCCCTGATGGACTCATCCCCCCCATGAAATCATATAATCAGACCTGGCCTCCACAACTGTCCCAGGGGACTCATCACGAAGCAAGGATGCACTGTGTAAAAATACTTCCCGTTTTCTCTTTAACGCTGATATCTTAAGGTACTTAAGATCTAACTCCAATTTTAATTCCTCACCTGAAAATCAATGCACCCTCACGGAAGAGGTGATGCATGGGACAAAGTGAGGGGGAACAGATTGTGCTTTCCCAGTTACACAGCAAGGCAGGGTACAGACTTGCAGCTGAGATACCATAACTCAATGCTATCTAGCCATTAGTTGACAAGATTCATGCTCTAAGTTTGAGGGGGGAAGGGGAAAAAAACACGCCAGGTAAAACAACTCATTGAAATGACTGAAGTGAGCATGAGTTGTACTTTGTTATTACAGGCAGACCAAGATGATCCAGGCAGTAAGCAATCACAGCTTTGCTGATAGTTCATTACTTGTCATCCTGTGGTAACCTGCAGACATGCCCACATATCCCTTCCTTTCTAGAGTCAGGTGCACCCTCTCCAGCCCAACACGTACTTGTGGAAGAGATGGCCGCAAGGGAGTTTACGTGCGGACTGCATGGAGTCCCAGCAAATGGCACAGTCATCATTATTGACTGCTAGCTCCTCTGGTGTTGCAACTGCAAACCTACAGGGGAGAAAAAGGAAGAGACAGAAGTCATGATTACAGCAGCTCAGCATGGCCTCCTGTCTAGAGAATCCCACATTGAGGAAACTTTATCCTCCACGTGAACTTTTCCTTGGGAGAGGCTGGCCAACAGGTTTGCTATTTTTTCCATAACTAGAACTCATGCTGCAAAGGAAGGCACACACACGCATCCCCCCCCCATGCCTTTTTGCAGGCACTTTTTTTTTTTTGCACATCTCTGCATCCATCTTAGGTTCAAAAAGGTTTGACTTAATATCTTCCAAGAAGTATGATCATTAGGTCGAGAACCTCAAATTATAACCCGTATGGATTTGGCTTATGTAATTTTTCTAAATGAGCTTTAATAGCTGTACCCATTAAGATACCTTCTCAGGATCATAAGCGTTATGGCCTGACTAATTTTGGCCTCAGATTTTGCCAACCCCCATCTGTCTTTGATTTTTTTTTTTAAACTGCAGTACCATGCAAGCAGCTTCTACATAGTACCCAGACATGGACAATATAGAGATGAGTGGTATAACAATATTTCACAGTACTGCTGGCATGGAATATACCTGAAAAACAACTACACAAATGCAGGGAGCTTGCTGCCACTGGCAGCTTCAGGAGGAAGCTTGAACATGGTTCTTTCAGAACAATCAGGATGACAAAAACACATCAAGTCGATCAGACAAAAAGTCTGAGACACTTGCACTTTTGTGAGCAGCTTAAAGGGGTTTAGTGGCCACATCTTACTGAAAAGAAACAATGCATTGTGAATGAACTTTATTATGCAGCTCTTAACCTGGTATTACTGCCATTAAATGACTTTTCACAAAGAAAACCTCAGGAATTTCCAGAGAATTCAGTCTTCTCCATCTGGACTACAGCAGCAGGCATCAGAGCTAGTCAGCCCCACTGAAGTCCACAATGAAAAAGCCCCACTGAAGTCCACAATGAAAATGATACAACGATGTACAGAAAAACTCCCTGTTGCTCTTAAAATTATTAAGGACATAGCTGAGTTATGAAAACATTAGATCAGAGATGCAGTAGTATCTGGCACAGTACTAGGTTTAACAGGCCTCTCGATTTCTCTATATTGCCTCAGTACAGGGGGACAGACTAAAGTCATCCCAAGGCGCTCTCAGCTCGACTACAAGTACAGAGTCTGTTTAGAGTTGGCTTCAGCTTTAATAAATGCAATCTTGCAGCTGAGCAGGTTTTAATTAATATTTTTATTTCATTTCAGGCAGTAACCGAATAGTATGGCCTAAGAAATAAATGCTCTTCATTTCATATCACAGCCAAAGCCAACCGAAACAGGCAGAGCTCTGCAGAGCTTATGTCAACCCACGAGGGTGGTATACAAGAGAATACAGGAGAAGAAATACTGGACAGGGGGGTTCACTTGTTGCCAGTAATAATGCTATCGTAAAAGTCAATCCTACATACCCGTTATAAACCAGAAAGGCTGTCCTAGTAACAAATGAAATGGATAAAAAGATAGTGTAAAGACTTAAGAGCCAGATTTGCAAGACTGCATCTCTCCAGTTTACACCATAACATCATGTATCAAAGAAACGTAAAACAATCCTAACTTCTTCACCAGGATCCTCTCTCTGAGATCCACATCAAGATCCCGGAGCAAATAAGAGGCTCACCTAGCTTCCATGTTTCCAACCACACGCAGGTAGTTCTTGTGCCGCCGAATTCTTCGTTGAACCTCGTGAAACAGGTAGCGCAGCTGCATGAAAATCACCAGGCTCGCCATTGACAACCAGATATTGCCAAACAGCTTCAGAAAAAAACAGAACAGTGATCAGAAACAAACACCACGGGAAATAAGAGGCAGCTACAAGAAACTGCATCAGGTCTTAAAAGAAAAAGAAATCAAGAAACCAGCACTGGAGAATTTTTCTCTTGTTGAGACCATTCAGACTAAGCACGCGTGTTCACAGGTATTACTATGCGTTACATCTTCAGACACAACTTAAGCAGCACAGCATTTATAATAAGGATAAACTGTATTCAGTCCTGTTCAGCTTAAATGTCCCCTGCTGCCAATGAAAATAATTCAGTCTGATATTACTCAGTAACAAAGCTAATGAAACACCTTTTAAACAGATAAGTACACAGTACTAATACTCCATAGCAAAGTTATTTGTGAGGACTCCAATTAAACAGGAGGAAAGAATGCCAGAACCCCCCACGCTATGTTTTCCTCTTTATTTAAATAACTTTTCTGTAATATTCCATTCCTAAAATAAGCAAAGCAAAAAATATATAAAATACATATACCCAGTACCCTTTATTTTAAGGCCAGTCTATCCGCTTAACATTATGTCCAGTATTTCATACCAGCATATGAATATGATGCATCAAGTCCAGTGAAAGCAAGGTTAGCTCCATGACAAAATCCGTGTAGTAGACGTAAGTGCCTTTGCCTTCCCACGTTCCTTCGTGGTTGAGATCCCAGAGATGAATTACATACCTGCAAGAGCAGGGAAATTAACATTATTCAATCTTTTTTTTTTAAATAGCATCTCTAGCATTCAGACTATTTTATCCATTTTTTTCAAACAACTACTGGATATGGATTCTTTGCCCTTCCTAAGCCCAGTCTGCAAGAGCAGGGAAATTAACATTATTCAACCTTCTTTTTTTAAATAGCATCTCTAGCATTCAAACTATTTTATCCATTTTTTCAAACAACTTCTGGATATGGATTCTTTGCCCTTCCTAAGCCCAGTGCCCACACTCTGTGCTTTCCTGGGGGACTTTTTTTTTTTTTTTTTTAACATTACTGGTTTCAACCAGCAACATTTTAAAAAGGCAAAAAGCAATCAGCACTTAGCCCATACTGGCATTACAGATACCACCAGCTGACAGAGAAGTTGTAGCATTTGCTAAAAACTCCTGCATGTACCGAAAGCCAGCCTTGGGATTATAGTAACTGCAGACCCACATTTTTCAGGTGTTTCTCAGGTGAGGCATTACAGCTTGGTGACAGATCTGAAATGCCTGGACAAAGAGGTTCTGTGCTACCCGTCATGTCCTACATATGCATACACATGTGCATTACCGATACATACGCATGCTACTTTTTCAAAACAGAAGTTCTAGAGATAAAGATCTTGAAAGAAATCCAGTAGAATGACATTTAATAGCATATATCAACCCTCATACAGCAGCACCAATCCATTTTAATCCATGCCTCAAGCCATTAGCACCCACTAAAGCTATCCATGCACTGCAGAATTCATGCTTAAAAATAGCACAGGCTAAAGTCAACCACCTTTGCCCATCTCCAAAAGTGCATTTGCAATTCAACAAGGTAATTACATACACCTCTTAAATCAACAGGCTATATGTGCTACCTTCTTGAAGAACCATCCTGCGAAGTGTAAGGTACTCACCGTAAAATCACATGAGCAGTTCTGACTGTCACAAGCAGAGACTGCAAAAGAGGGGAGGAAGGGGGGGGGGAAAGGTGTATTAATGCACTCTGTCAGGGACAGTGGTCCTGAGGCAGGAGCTTAGTGGCTATAAAACAAAATGCATTTGTTGCAACTTCACAAGTCCTATGAAGCTTATATATGAATATGGAAGAAGTTGTTCTCAAACGCACGATGCTGACAGGCAGCCACGAGCATTGCTGTCATTAAGTCTCACTTTTCCCCCCGCTACCCAGCACATAATGTTTTTCGATTCTTATCATTCAGTGAGTGTTGAGACCACAATCCCACCAACTACCTTCAGGTGAAGGCAGCAATCATCCCCCTGCTCAAGAAAAATCTGAAGAACCAAGTAAGTAGTAACGCAAATTTGAGGAAGAACCATGGAAGCACTTTCAAGTAATTTTTCCCCTTTGCCGAGATGTGAACACGGCAAAAGTGACTTCTCTCTTTAATCACCCTTGCCTCTCTAGGCTAAGTACAGAGAAAAAAACCTGAATATATCAGAAAGCATAAGCAGATCAGAAGCGTAAAGACAAGTCACCAGAAAGGTTGGTTTCCAGAATACCTAAACCACATTTCCACAGGCTCTTATCTAAGAAACGTGGCCCCATCACCTCTCTCTAACCTGTGCCCCATCCCTTCATTGTATCCTCCCAGTGAAAGAAAACGGGGCAGAACGAACCCCTTCAGAGGCTGCCCACACGGCCCTGTAGTCAGCAGGGGCCAGTCTACACCAAGATGCAGTGGATTATAACCAGCAACTACAACCATTTCTGTAGGACCAGTCCGATGGTATGCCTTCAGTCTGAGCATTAAAAGCAGTACAGAACTATCAAAACCACAAACTTCCCAATATAGCATTTAGAACAGTTGGTTTGAATAATTTTTTCCATTTGTAAAAAGCATTCTTAAAATGCTTCGATGCGTATTTAACCCTCCGTAATATCCAACGTACCTGCCAACTGTTTACTAGTTGGCTTTAAAATAAGCATTCTTGTGACTATTTAAACACCAGCGCAAACTTTTATCCAAATAAGGGCTTCAGGATAAAATGCACACATCATTCAAATAACACAAAAAGAGTCAAGAAGGTAACGACAAGTCATCTTAGCACGGTGTTCTCTTCTCATCACAAACATCTTTCATTAAAAAAGTTGAAATTGGCACCTCAGCTGCTCCTGCGAGGCACATTATGAGACTCTCTTCTGTCTCCTGTTACGCCACCATGTGGGTACCGGAAAGAGACTGCACCTTGTTCACACGAGGGGTTTCTGGCTACGGAGAAACTTTGGGCAGACCACAGAGGAAAAGTAAACATGTCCAAATTTCTAACTGTGCAAGTGGGGAAATGGAATGATTACCTGAGCTGCTGGATGGATACGGCACTGAGCACAGATCTGTGCCAAAACCAGTACATGGGCCATAACGTCTCCAATAAGGAAGACATCTGTCAGGTAGAGATCTGAAGAGTCTAAGCTTCACAATTTTAAGTTAATGTTGCCAAGACATGATTTATACTGGATAATGCTGAGGCAGTGAGATCATCACAATTAAAAGGACAAGCTAGCGTAGACTGGGTCACGGCGCTGGTCTCTGGTTCCTCCACGCTTTCCAGAAATGCATTGCAACATTGTGGCATGAGAAATACCTCGCAGAAAGGACAACATTGCATCACAAGTTACACAACTCCATAATGTGGCGTTCTAAACGTACAGCAGGACGCTTTCAGTAGTGACAGCTCAAGCGTTCTTGCTCTGCTCTACTACACACAGACTTACCCTCCGTGACACTGGCAGGTCCTAGTCACGTCGACCAGCACACAACTGGAAGGCACCCAAACCCTAAGATAACTGATGCAGCATAAGAAGCTGTACAGGAAAATATACTGTTATCTCTAAGGTATAATTCTAAGATTTGAATATCACTATCGTTACACGGCCTCAACTGAGATGCATGAAACAGGATCAGAGGATGGCTGCTATAGGAATGGAGTAATTCCTTCCCACAACAAAAAAGGTGCAAAGATAGACTGGGCGTTACTTGCTAAACTATAACTCTCAAATACCATACATTAAGGCAAAAACCCCTTAATGTTTACTCAAAAATACAGACTGTCCTTATTCAACCTTCTCTGGGCGTTTGCACATTTCACATCCATCCTTTGTAGGAAAGAAAATGCTGACAAACAACACAGGACAAGGGGAAGCCTAACTAAAACCCGAGAAAAACATCCGTATTGCTTTATTGAAAACCCAGAGGCATCAAGCTAAATCAATGTTTGCAGAGTCAGGAGAGAGATGAATAGCCTAATGTAACTTAATGTAATTAAATACACGCTAATGGAATACATTTGGCAGGGTCCCTCTCAAACAGCATCACACAAGCCACCACCAGGAAAACATTTTAGCCTGCAAGATTTCAGGCTTTTTGACGAGAGCTTGAGGACTGCCACGAGGTGTCACTGCTAGTACCTGTGCCGTAAATGTTTCATTCCATTTACACAAGTGCCGGGTATTAAAGTCAAGGAAACTACTCATGGTCACCCGACCCATATAGGGTTCCGAAAGGGGCGAGATGCTAGACAATTTCATAGGAGGAAAGATTAAACAGACCAGAATTCTCTTGTTTGGAACAAAAGTCAGAAGGGGAACAGGAGAAAGGTCTAGAAAATAACAAATGGTGTGAACAAAAGTAAACAGGGAATGATTCTTTGTGGATTTTTGCCATAAATGTATTAGATGGTAGCCAGGGACATTATCAGACAGAAGATTCAGAACAACTAGAAGAGCTCTTTTGTGTACACAAAGCCAAGTTAAATGTGGAATTTGTTGCCTTTGGATACTGCAGAGGCCAAAGTATAAATGAGTTCAATAAACTATCAGACAACTTTCCAGAGTCCATCTGAGGCTATCAAACCCAACAGGTTTGTGCAACTCTCAGCTCAGCAACATCCTCAAATGCCAGCTGCTGCAAGCAAGGGTGGGACACCCTCTCCTATACATTCCTGTCCTGGTTTTGGCTGGGATAGAGTTAATTTTCTTCCCAGTAGCTGGGCATAGTGCTGTGTTTTGGATTTAGGATGAGAAGAATGTTGATAATGCACTGATGTTTCAGTGTCCAAGGTCGACTATACTCCAATGGAAAAAAGATATATTGGCAGCATATGAAGGGGTTTGAGCAGCTTCTGAAGTGGTTGCTACTGGAGCACAGCTCCTCCTGGCACCCTGACTGCTGGTGCTGGGCTGGGTGTTCAAAAGGACAGTCCCCTCTGCACATCGCGCAACTGATGCTCCGTGGAGTGAGTAGGCCGCACTGATCACACAACGGGCTCAAATAGGAGACCACAGTCACCCAGGAATCTTGGCAGTGATCATGGACTGGTCAGAAGGCAAAGATTCTGGAATATCACCAGAGGAGGAGGTGGCACGTGTTGAAGAGGCCCCACTGTACAATAAGCCGCCAGAAAATGGGAAGCAATATGCCCTGTTCACTGATGGGTCCTGCCGCCTTGTGGGAAAGCATACAGCAGTATGGAGTCCTATACAAGTTGCAAAATCTGCTGAAGGAGAAGGTGAATCGAGTCGGTTTGCAGAGGTGAAAGCCATCCAGCTGGCTTTAGATATTGCTGACCAAGAAAAACAGCCAGTGCTCTGTCTCTGTACTGACTCACGGATGGTGGCAAATGCCCTGTGGTTGCAGCAATGGAAGCAGAGCAACTGGCAGTGCAGAGGCAAACTCATCTGGGCTGCCACACTGTGGCAAGATATTGCTGCCTGAGTAGAGAACCTGGCTGTAAAAGTATATCACGTAGATGCTCATGTACCCAAGAGTCGGGCCACTGAAGAACAGCAAAACAGCCAGCAGGTGGATCAGGCTGCTCAGATTGAATTGGCTCAGGTGGATCCGGACTGGCAACACAATAGCAAATTATTTATAGCTCTGTGGGCTCATGACACCTCTGGCCATCAAGGCAGAGATGCAACATACAGATGGGCTCATGATCAAGGGGTGGACTTGACCATGGACACTATTGCACAGGTTACCCATGAACGTGAAACATGTGCTGCGATCAAGCCAGACAAGTGTTTAAAGCCTCTCTGGTACGGAGGACGATGGCTGAAGTATAAATACGGGGAGGCCTGGCAGATTGCTTATATCACACTCCCACAAACCCACCAAGCCAAGCACCATGTGCTCGCCATGGTGGAAGCAACTACCAGATGGTTGGAAAGATATCCCATGCCACAGTCCGGAACACGATCCTGGGCCTTGAGAAGCAAGTCCTGTGGCAACATGGCACCCCAGAAAGAATTGGGTCAAACAATGGGACTCATTTCCAAAACAGCCTCATAGACACCTGGGCCAAAGAGCATGGCACTGAGTGGGTATATCACACGTATGAGCCCACAAGAAAATCAAACAACTCAATGGAGTGTTAAAGACTACCCTGAGAGCAATGGTGCCTGGACATTCAAACATTGGGATACACATTTAGCAAAGGCCACCTGGTGAGTCAACACGAGGGGATCTGCCAACCAAGCTGGCCCTGTCCAATCAAACCTCTTACGCGCCGGTGAGGGGGATAAAATTCCTGTAGCGCACATAAAAAATATGCTGGGGAGGACAGTCTGGGTTAACTCCTGCCTCGAGCAAAGGCATTTGTGGGATTGCTTTTGCTCAAGGACCTGAGTGCACTTGGTGGGTGATGTGGGAGGATGGGGAATTCCGATGTGTGCCTCAAGAGGATTTGATTTTGGGTGTCACTGAACTGAATTGTATGATTTTAATGATGTATGTCATCACGTCTATGGTGGCTATATGCCATATCAGTGGTACTACAGCAAGAATCGCCCAGATTAATGAAGAATGAACTTAGATGAAAACCAAGCAAAGCACAATGATAATGGAACCACAAGTGGCTTCAGCATGCAACAACCCACCACCACGCACCATCTCTCCTGCCCTGAAGCCCTGTTATGGAGCCCAAAGTCACGGACTAAATGAACACAATGAACGTTTTATAGCGAACGATAGCTGTGTGCATATATGAGAAGAAAGGAAAAGTGATGGTGATTAATTGGAATGTATTGGAAAGTGTGGGACCTGGGCGTGACATAGATGGTATAGAATAAGGGGTCGATGCTGTTCTGGTTTCAGCTGGGATAGAGTTAATTTTCTTCCCAGTAGCTGGCATAGCACTGTGTTTTGGATTTAGAATGAGAATAGTGTTGATAACACCCTTATGTTTTAGTTGTTGCTGAGCAGGGCTTACACCAGGCAATGACTTTTCAGCTTCCCCTGCTCTACCAGGGACACAAGAAGCTGGAAGGGGGCACAGCTGGGACAGCTGACCCCAACTGGCCACAGGGTTATTCCATACCATATGGCGTCATGCCCAGTATATAAACCGGGGGAAAGCTGCCCAGGAGGCCGCTGCTTGGGGACAGGCTGGGCATTGGTCAGCAAGTGGTGAGCAATTGCATTGTGCATCACTTATTTTATATATTCTATTATTATTATTTTCCCTTTTCTGTCCTATTAAACTGTCTTTATCTCAACCCACAAATCTTACTCCCTCCCGATTCTCCCCCCCGTCCCACTGTGGCAGCAGGAGCGAGCGGCTGTGTGGTGCCGGGTTAAACCACAACAGTTCCCCACAAACCTCCTCTGCTGTCCACACTGCGGGCTGCGTGGATCGGTGGCTTGGCTAAGGACCATGTGCTCACGCTGGCTGAGACACTCCTTTGTTAATCAGCAGACAGAACAGCTCCCACTGAAATGAATGACTGAGCCCCATCCTGCAGCCCAAAACACATACGCCACCATGCAGCACAGTGCTAACAAGGCAACACGTTGGCACTGTAGCACTCCCCGATAAACATACCCCACACTGGTACGCGCCTGATACACCCTTCTGCCCAGCCAAGATAAGAGACACAACACCAATGAGACCTCACCTGTTAGGGACACTGACAAATCTTCAATACCCTTCCACTGTGTAATAACAAATCTGGCCTTGTGTATTCTTGTATTTAAGGAAAAGTAAACTGACATATTAAATAACTGAACTGCGGTGTGACTGGCATCACATAATCCTACTATCAGCTGACTGTTTTCTTTCCTCCTTACTAACTCCAAGCATGAATTCAAGATAGGAGAAGAAAAAGATAAATTGTACGCGCCACTTGTTATCGAAACTAAGGATGTGGTAACATGACTTACTTGCAATTATACTGGTTACCTCCCCTTTAAGATTATCCCTTCCTCAGGCAGAGTACAACCCTCCATAACATCAAAAACATACTGGTGTTCACACCACAAAGACACTGATGTTTACTCCAGGCTGCAGTGGGTTCAGGAGTGTACAAATATGAGTTGCTCATCTCAGCTGAGATGCATCTCCTTGCACAAACAGAAGCAAATCCGTGAGTATGCCTTAAGGAAAGATGTCCGTCTCATTCCTTTTTGGGAGGAATGAAATAGAAAATACAACCTCAAAGAAACAGGCCGAGGTACAGAATACATTTTCATGCACATTTTACACTCTCTCCCTCTCTCCAGCGGCCATCTCAGCTAACGCTTCTTGCAACGCTCATGAAGCACAACCATTATTTTTTCATAGGCTGCCATTTGATTTCAGCATCATCTTACGGATTTATCCTCTCATTCTCTTCTTCAGACAAAGAGTTTTTTGCAGGGTTACACTCTAAGGAGAGAAAGCACACAGATCTGGCAACTACGCTAAAACAGGCGAGGGCTTGCTTGCACCTGGAGTTTCTTCCTTGTGGGAAACTCAAAGAAAACCCACCGCATGCCAAGATACCCCCAAGTGAGGCGTGAAAAGCAAAGCAGAAACCCCGACACGTATGAAAGAAGTCTCACCTCTGCTGCCATGAAAGCCAACGTGTGCATGCCATGGGTGTAGCCAATAATACCACAGACAACTGCTAATCCACAGCAGGAGAGGAGCAGGGCTACGAGCAGGGCAAGGACTCTGATGTGGCTGCCCATGGGTGTGGTAGGAGAAAAGGAAAGCTGCAACACAAATACATAAATACATGACAGGTTTAAAGGAGTACTTCATCCACCCTGCCTTCCATAGTCAACTCACCAAACAAGTCCACATTCACGAAAACCTTTTGCTTTCTAGGATAAAACCAGTATCGCGACCTCAGCCACACAATGTAGCAATAAATCACAGAGAATAAAGCTAAAACCACATGCCACCCCAACGTCTCATTCATCTTCCTGTCATTTACATTCATCAGGCTTTTAAAGCTAGAAGGGATCATTAAGATTATTTGATCTCTTGTTTAGATCACCTGTGCAAGAAAACCATGGGCACTTTCTCACATGGTAGTTTCTGCATCAAGTCCACAGCATCTGCTTAGGATGAACATGCGTTTTAGAAAGACACCTAACTTAACATACAGTCGTTTGAGCAACAAGATTAATTGTTCTGCCAGGTTTTCACCTTACAGCTGGTCTGAATTTGTCCAGCTTTATCTTCCAGCCTCTAGTTCTTCCAATGTCATTTTATTTTGGAAGAGACACCTCCCCCAAAAATTTAACTTGCAGCTAGAGACTGCTGGACAAAGCCTACTGAAAACAGTTGTCTCATTCAATACCATCTACAGCACATCCATTCTCTAAACTACCTTAACAGCAGGCTGCACCTAGGCTGTCTAAATCAAAGGCGACCCAAGAGGAAAAGCATCTAGGTGGTCCATCCCCTTATTTTCAAGGCAGGAACGGGAAGAAGTTGCCCCAAGCTTCACTCTGGTCTGATTGATGATGAAGTTGACTCCCACGTTTTGTTTTTAAATTGGTTCTTTCTTCCCTGTTTGTATCTGGTTCAGTTCCACGTCCCCCTGAGAGTTTGACAAGGCAGATCACGCAAGTACCATTTGTCCAAGCAAAGAATTACGATACACACTTTGAATGCAGAAGGAATATAATAAGGATTTCTTCCCACATAAGCTTTGTTCTTTTACAGCTTTCTGAACATTAAAAATATCAGATGACTGCCTTGTTCACTTCTGCCTCAATTTTCCTAACCCCAACCAATCTAGCTTCAAGCTTAGTGCTTCGCTGCTTCCCAATTAACAGGCCTTACTGGACATTAATAAAAAAAATATTGCAAGGCACAGAGCTACCAAAAGGAAATTCGTGGATTCAATTTAGTTCAAACTTTTATTCCAGGACAGATGGGCTGAGGAAAATGCATGTCCATTACAGACATTTAAAGGCCAAGATTTACTGGTCAAATTCCAGTTCCTTCTTCCTTGCCCAGCCTTCCACTTCTGCATCTCTACTGCATTTATTCCTGGTGTTAGCAGAAACTAGGACACAACTCATGGAGAAAGTCACGCTGTGTATTGTAAAGACATTGGCAGTCGACATTTGGTAGATGTAAACGAGCTTGAAACCTGAGCACAGAATGCGCTTGCAGCCCAATACCAGAGGGCACCAATCTGAGGGATGTGCTGTTGTCGAGATTTCGTCACTAAGGAGAGCGATGAAGACACCTCACCAAGTTATGTAATAGTAATTACAGGGCACATATAAGGAGCAGTTTATCAAAGACAGTAAGTGTTCAGCTCCGTTTGTCTGATGGGAAAACTGAAGGAGTAAGATTGACGTTGCATTTTAAGGCGAGTGTTCGAAGCTAGCGGGAGGTGCACGTGTTCAGCAGCGCAGGGTGGGGAAAAGGTCTAAATGATCCATTTGGAATCTATCAGAAGCCAGCGCCTGAACCAGAAACAGAATTTTCATGTCCCGAAAGACAGCCCTTAATCAAAACTTACATATTCAAAGCGATCCTTGCAGAGCTGAACCATAAGATGAAGAAACACGAGTCCAGAGAACCAGAGGCACCACATCACCACTTCTTCCACTGTCTGAACATTCAGCACACCAAAAATGAAGATGAACTTGTAGAAAATGAAATTCCAGAATTTATCCTTGAGATGCTGTAAAGGAAGGTATTTGGTCACTGTAGCAAAAGCACTGACAATCCACACGCAGGGGAGAAAAGGAGGGAAAAAGAGAAAGAAAAACAAAAAAAATGTGGAAGTAGAAATGCAATGATATGTTAGCAAAAGCCTGCTGCATGCACATCTCTAACAGCATTTGTTACCCTTACTCAATTAAAAACATATTAGAAATATTAGTGGTCCTTAGCATCTATCTGGTCTTTTGCACCACTGCAGCATAGCCGTGCAACACAGTGCACAGCGTTGCTTCCTGCCATACTTCTAAAACGGTGCTTAGCACCAACCAAGCTTGATCTCAGCTTGACACTCAAGGAACTGCCATGGTTAGTTAGACAAGATGTCCCAATAGCCGAGCACCTTGCTTCCAAAAACCTGTCAAAAAGCACAGATGATTAAGAAAAGATGACAAAGTCTGCTCTTAAAAAGCACAGTGCCTACAGTGGAGAATGAGATGGATGAGCAATGAAAAAAAAAATTATTCCCACGCACTTGCAGTATGAAAGAAACAATATGATGGTCTCCAGCAGCCGAGAGCAAGCCAGCTTGTTGGGGATTAAAAAAAAAAACAAAAAGGAGGAAATAAAATGTTGTGTTAAAGAACACAATGAAGTCACCAGGAGTTTAGTTAAGACAGGCCCAGAATTCCTTCAAGATGCTGCCATTTTTGGCTCGCCAATATTAATAACCAGCTTTCCTTCACGGGAGAATTGAAGCATACTCCCACTGTCCAAGCACACATGGATCCACACCGTTACTGCTTTTTACTTCAGTTTTTAAAGAGGGTAGAGAACATCCTGGAAATTACCACTGGGTAAAATGCCACATCCTTATAGTTAACATGGACTGGAAAGAAAACCTGGCCCAATGCAGTTGGGGAGTGCTTTGTTTTTAATACACTTCACTCAGAGGCTCTATGGGGTATGAATCACAAATAACTTTGAGAGACCCAGGGCTATTAATGAAGCTTTATGTGCCGCAGTTCTGCACGTCACAAATCCTCATTTTTCCTAAAGAACTGCACTTACACACCCTTTTTTTTCAAACATATGAACACACTTCAAACCACTGCATTCACACAGAGCAACTTATGCATTTGCCTTTGTTTTTAAAAAATCAACATACACAGATGCTATTCAAACTGCTGCTGCTCCTTTTATCTTCTGCAGGATCCTGTTCTTAAAAAAACCCAGGCTTTAAACGGTCCTCCGGCCAAATTTATGAAAATGTTCTCACCTAGCCCAAGAGCAGAACTACACAGCTTGAGATTTCAGCCCTGCTGACCTCCTTTCCCTGGGCATGTGCCTGCCTACTCCTTCACAAACCTGAGGATGGGCAGCGCTTCTCCGGCAGTCAAGGCACAAAACAAGGTCCGAGAGGGAACTCCGACTTGCCAGCACCAATAACTATGAAAGACAATGGAGAAATGCTGCCAAGTGCAAACCGAATCCAGAAGAACACTTCAGTAAGATTCTGAAATGAGGGTGCACCTGTGAAGACCCTGACAAAGTTCATGAAGGAAGCGGGATTTTCAAGCTGACCGCAGGCTTATAAAATACAATAGCAACAATGAAAAAGAAAAGTTCCCTTCAGAAATAAACTGCAAGTTTGTGGCTGTGGATATCCTGGCTAACCAGGAAGGGTTTCTTGGGCAGATTGTCTTCTGTAGGCTTTTATTGGCCAGCATTCCCAAAACCGAGAAGTATAATGGTAAGACTTCAGCTGTTCTAAAATTCATCTTTCATGTGTACTTTCAAGCAATTCCATATAGAAAACCACACCGGTCGTATGCCAAGAAGTTACGAGAGACCACAGATATCCAAGGCAGCAAACGGCTGTCTTACCTGCCTCTCGCTGACACGGAGAGGGCCGAACACCATATACTGGATTAGCTTAGCAACCAGCATCAGAAAACAGCAGGCAGTGTTCACTAGTACCTGGAAAGGAATAAAAGCAGTCAGCGACAAATACTTCTGCCCTATTTAGGGAGAGAGAGAAAGGGAAAGAACGGGTCTAACAAAACCCACCATTGTTCACAGAAGAGTTTTAGCTGCCTTTTTTTTTTTGCGTGTGTGTGTGTGAAATTTAAGCCTGGCCTCTTCCAAGACACATGCAGTAGCTGATAAGTAACTGAACATTTTTATAGAAGTACTAACACAGTCACTTTGATCCCCCGGTAGATCCAACAAACCAACCTACCTCTTCACAATAAATTGCTTTATATGAATTAGCAAATCCTAGCACCAAGAAACACGGGGACAAAACTTAACAGATCACAGAGATGCTCATTTTATTTAACAGAACGGCAGATGAGAAAGCTCCAGTTTTAATCTGTTGTTACAGGAACAAGATCCAGACATTGTCACGAAACACAGTAAACAACGTGCACCCCTTCTGCAACAACACTGGTTAAACCTTCTGGGGAAAATGCTTTAAAGCAAAGCAGCAAGGCGCAGAATACACAGGCCTGGGCAAACTACTTCTCGCATTTAACAAAGACACTTGTAATTAACTTTTGCCCTGTGCAGAACACTAAAAAGGGGAGGCAGTGGGGATGATGAAGCAGCCTCACCCTGTCATTTCTAAAGGACATACAATAAACTTTTCCAGGGCTCCTAATTTAAGGTCCTAAGATCAAGTTTTAGCAGGCTGGAGCTGCTCAGTATATTCAAATATCAGCACCTCAGCCAAGCAAGCACACTGTAAAGCAGATGTCCAGCCTTTCACTGACGGTTCAGC